AAAAATTAAAACTTTAAAATTAAATTTAAAATTTGAATAAATATTCAATTTTTATCTAAAATTATCAAAAATTACTATATCCTAGTGGAATCACTATGGATTTTGTTTTTCTTCTAGGAATTTTTTTATTTTCATCTCTATTTTTTTTCCTTTGTATTGGTTTATTTACATTATATTGATTTGGAATTAGTCTTTGGTGATTTGATTTCTATACTTATATATGAGTATTTTGTATCATGGGGGAAATATTTTATCTATTGATTTGATGAAATAAAATTTAATTTTATTGATTTAAAATAATTAAAGTTTTGGAAACTAAATTTGAAACTTGAACTAATATTTAGTTCATTTTTTTATTTGCTAAAATTAGGATTGATTTGCATAGTTAAGGGAATAGTACATGACCTTTTATTTTCAATCACTCAACTCTTTTTTTTTTAATTTGATCATTTCACATTGTATTTTATTTAAGATTTAACTTGATAGTTTATTTTGGTTACTTAAATATGGGGTATTTGCAATATCAAGGGGAAATGTTAGGGCTCGATTGATCTTTAGTTTGACAAAAATAAAATAAAATTACATTGATGCAAAACAATTTAAATTTAAAAAACTAAAATTGAACCAAAAACAAAATTGATATGATAGGGTAAATGGTTAGAGCAACTTTGTTAGCATATACATTGCATATGCCAGAAGATAAAACCTTTAAATTATAGCAATGTTTATGGCTTGTTTTGGTGGCCAACCACCAACTTTCTTGGTGGAGTTAAAAGCAACTTGACAAGGATTGTCAAGTGGTGAAACACATGTCATGTTTGGTGATATGTGGTGACCTTTTTTTTTTTATTCCTCGTTTTTTTTTCTCTTTCTTCTCTTTAAAATTCATGATGATTTGCTAAAAAAATAAATGTTTTTTATTATTTTGTTTATGTTTTAAATTTATTTTTTATTCTTTTTAGTGCTATTCTTTACTTTAGGTCCTTTAAAAAAAAAATCTCAATTTTATCATTTCACGTTAGGTTGGTTTGAAATTGGGCTTTATAATGTTTTTTGATGGGATTGTCCCAGTTTCATGACCACATCACATATTTTGACATCAATATTTTTTTTACACTGGTTTTCTTTTTCAATTTCATCATTTAATATTAAATTTATTAAAAATTAAAATTCATGATTTTCTTTGCTTTCTTTTCTAAGGTGTTATCTCGATATCATTATCTAGGTTATGGGTTTGATGAGTTAGTCTGAGTTGACTTGGGTTTTTTTTCGAGTTGTTATTTTAAAACTGAATATTTTTCAATTTATTTTTTAATATTGAATTTATTTTTTCATATTTTTCCTTCTTTTTAGGTTATTTCATTTGTATGATCTAACTCATACGGTTTGGTGAACTTGCCAGGATTTGTTAGATTTTTTTTGTTATTTTTGTTGATTAATTTTTTTTATCCTTTTATAGTTGGACTGTTATGAATTGTGTATTAATTTTTTGTATTTTTTTTCTATAGGGTTATCTCATCCTCATAACCTCGATCATGGGTTTTGCATATTAACTTGAGTAGTTCTTTTGTCTTTTTTTTTTCAATTTATCATTAAGCATTGAGTTGTTTGAAAATTTAGTTTTGTAATTTGTTTTCTTTTGACAAACTTTCTTTTTGTGGATGTCATCATATGATATGGTCACTTTTTTTAAAAAAAAAAAATAAGTCTATTTACTATCATTGAGTTTTATTTTTATCAAATCAGCTTATTGGATCCGGCTCGGTTTATGATCCAAGCCACACATTTTTCATACATCTTTAAAACACCCTAATGGTGCTTGAACATCTTTTTTTTATGTTAATTTTTTTTTTACATGGCTTTCTATATAGTACGGGTTATCTATCTAATTAAAACTAAAAAAGCTTACTAATCCACTATGAATTTTGAGATAATTCACTATGAATTACAATAATGTTTTTTGTTTTTTCATTTTGTTTCTCCTTTTGTTTTCAATTTTTTTTTATTTCAATTTTATTCTTTGATGTTGTGTTGATTATGATTTTGAGTTGATTGTTTGTTTTGATTTATCTTTTATATCATTTTTTATGTTTTTTTTTTTAAAAAAACCATCTCAAAATAGGTTTGACACTCAATTTCATGAAAAAAAATTCAATTTAGTTATTGTTTGCAAGGAATTGAAGGTGAAAGGACCAAAATTATAAGCAATGAACAATAGCATGCCTTTAGAAAAAAACAAAAGGTGTCAACTCAGATCTTTCTTTTTTTAACTTCGGTTATTGATTTTTTTTATTTTAATTGAATCCTTTAATATTTTGTTGATTAAGATTTGAGGTTGATGGTTTGTTTCGGTTGATGTTTTATGTAGTTAACTTAATATATAAAAAAAGCATTCCATAATTGTCTCAAAGCTTAATTTAACAGAAAATAATCTAATTTTATTATTTGCACATAATTGAAAATAAAAGGATTGAAATTGTCTAAAAGAACAATTAGGAGGACCTTTTAAAAAATTGTGTATTTATGCCTTTTCAACCAATTTACTCTTTGTGTTTTGGCAAAAATCATTTTTGGTCCCTTTGAGTTTGGGGATTGAATAACTCGTTCAAAACTTTATTTTTCTTGTATTTTAGTCCACGTATTTGAGAGAAGAGAGAGAGACCCGCTTGATTATAATGAGTAGAGAGAAAGTTGATAAATGTCCACTTTTCAACGATAAAAAATATCGTTTTTGATGTTAATGGATTCCATTCAATAAGGAGATTTTTAGTTAAACCCTTTTCCTTTTATCATGATGAAAAATGTAGATTGATACTCATGAATGATTTTTGTTTGGGTTGATTTTTCATTTCTAAACCAATGAAGTGCTAATTTAATAGCATAAATGGGTTTATTGAGCTTCCTATAGTGTTTCTTAAGTGTTTTCCGATAAAAAATATATTTGAAAATTTGTTTTTATGCCCTTGATAATAGTTGCGAATGATGCATCACTTATATTATTTTCTTAAGAAAAAAAGTGAACAATATGTCATCTATCCTTAACTAAAAATAAAAAAAATATTATAGATGTGATTCTATTTCAGGCCCATACATCTAGGCTTTCTTAGAGGCTCATCCCCTAACCCTCTTTTTTTTTTCTTTTTTTTAATTTTTTCAAATGTTATACTAAGATCAAATAAGTACAAAGTGAGGGTCCTAGGTTTGGAGGATTAACTAAGGTTCATAATTTTTTTTTTTATAAAATAAAACAATATTGTTTTGAAAACAAAACTCCAAAAAAAAAAATATAAATGAGTTATTAAACGAGTTTTCATTGGGTTAGAGAGATCAATTCGTGTCAATCATTTCCTTTATTTTTTCTTTAACCTGGACCAATGCATGCCTTATGTTGTCCAAGTCTTTTTCAGACTTGCCAAAACAGTCAAGGTTCTAGAATTATAATTTTTTTTTGTCAAGTTAGATTATAATATAGTTTTAGAATGAACAAAATTATTAAACCTGACAGGTCTATTATAGTTGTTTTTAAACTTTATATATGTTGGTTGTTAGGGTTATTTTTAAACTAACCAGATTGACTGTATTAATTTAAGATACCTTTCTAAATAATTTCATTCAAAACTCGAGTTATATAAGTAATTGGATTAAAAAGTTTTAAAATTAACATGTATATTATTAATTTTTTTTTTTATAACTTGAATATTTTTTTCCCACTTGAAAATAATTGGTGTGGCCAATAATATACTTACTTATATATTATGATAACTACTTAGGAGATGTCTGGTAAGAAACCAAAACATTTTTAACTAAAATTTGACCTTTTATGTTTAAAATTATTTTTTAGTATTTTTAAATTATTTTAATATATTGAAGTTAAAAATAAATTTTTAAAAATAATAAAATATTTTAAAAAGTAATTCATGGTACACTCCACTCTAGTTAGCTCGTCATTCTTTGAATATTATTAAATTATTATTTTTACTTACTAGATCCAAATCATTATTGCATTATTAACTAATAAAAATAAATAAAAAGTTTAAGAAGAAAAATAGTTCTTCATTGGATTGCTTCCTGAAGAAATTGGTGAGTGCAAGTCATTGTTCCAAATCCGAATCGTGAATTATCTGTTTACACGTGTAAAATCTTAATAATGTTCTTGGGTTATGATTAAATGCTCGTGTTCTAATTTTCTTCCTCATCAACCGTAGCAAGACACCATGGGCTTGGAAGTCAGAATCATTTCACCTTGCCATACAATCATGCTCTTAAAATTTTTTAAATTGTTTTAGGTTTGGATTTATATATTTTTAGTATTTTTTTATTTTAATGTATTAATGTTAAAAATTAAAAAAATATTATTTTCATAAATTTTTAAATAACAAACATTTTAAAAAAACAATCTTTATCATATTTTAAATAATTTTTTTTAAATAATAATGGAAAGAGATTTATTGTGTTTAAATAGTAACTCAATTGGTGTTTTGTTGGATTTAAGTTATTGCATTTTTAGGAGGTGAAATTGAGGAGGGTGATTATGATTTTAATGATAAAGTTGTAATATTCAATATAAAAGATTTTCAGTCTAATATAAGAGCAATAATATAAATAATTAAATATTTTTTTGTTAAATTCTTTGACACACATAAAATATTATATAAATTATAAACCATAAACTATAAACTATGTGATATAAATTTTAATTATTTTTAAAATAAAAGTAAAATAAAAAAACTAATAAACTATAGAAGTTCATTGTAATTTTTTCAATCATAAATATCCATGAATACCTTTATTTAAAATTATAATTATAAAAATCTCTAGTGTCATAAAATTCTAAAATTAATTGATTTATTTTAAAAACCTGATAATCTAATTGAAATATAACTGGATCAAATTTTGATTGATTGATTGATTTTTTTACTTGTAAGAAAAAATAAACAAGTATAATGGATGATTTACTCAAAATAAATAAATAAAAAAAACAAAACCAAATGAGTACATGAAAATGCAAAACCAAAACCCTACTTGAACCCTTGGTCTTCCCTCCCCAGCTATACTCTCATTTCCAAAAGAAACAGAGGAAGCTGCAGCCTGAACAATGCAATTCCTCTTCCGCTCCCTCCCTAAACCCCGGCACCAACGTCACTGCCGCAGCCTCGTCGACTTTGCGGCCATCAAGCACGTCAGAGACAGGGGCTTAGACCATGCCGTTGAGCGAGAAAAGCACTTAAAGCCAGTGCTTTCAATCAAGAACTTAATAAAATCAGAGCCATCAAAATCACTCCCTATCTCCACAATCACTCAACAAAAAGACTTCCTCAAAATACCGATACGGCCAATAGAGTTAATTAGAAGATACCCTTCAGTCTTTGAAGAATTTCTGCCTGGTGGCATTGGAATCCATCCTCATGTCAAGTTAACACAACAGGTACTTGACCTTGATATTGAAGAACAGTTAGTTTATCAAAGTGAGAGTTATAAGAATGATGTTGCTAATAGGCTTTTAAAGTTGTTAATGATTTCAAGAATTGATAAAATTCCATTAAAGCTTCTTGATTTTTTATTATGGGATTTGGGTTTGCCTCAAGATTGTGTCAAGACTTTGGTTCCTGAATTCCCTGATTATTTTAGAGTTCTCGGGGATAAGAATTTGTCGCCTTGGTCGGGTTCGGATTTGGGGTTGGAGTTGGTTTGCTGGAGTAATGGACTGGCTGTTTCAGTTATGGAAAAGAAGGCAAAAAGTAGAGAAACTGGTTATGTTAAAGGGATGCCTATAGAGTTTCCAATGCAGTTTTCGAAGGGTTTTGAAATGGATAAGAGGTTGAAGCAGTGGATTAGTGACTGGCAAAAGTTGCCTTATGTTTCTCCCTATGAGAATGCTATGCATCTTGGGCCTAATACTGATGAATCAGATAGGTGGGTGGTGGGTGTGTTGCATGAGGTACTTAATCTTTCTGTTTCGAAGAAAGTGGAGAAGGACACTTTGTTGTGTTTGGGAGAGTGGCTGGGGATCCGGTCGAGGTTTAAGAGAGCATTGCTACACCACCCTGGGATATTTTATTTGTCGAATAAGATAGGGACTTATACTGTTGTTTTGAAGGAGGGATATAAAAGGGGATTGTTAGTTGAGAAGAATCCAGTGGTGGATATTAGGAATCAGTATATTCATCTTATGCACACGGTTGTCGAAGAACGTAAATCAATCACTGTACATGGAGGAAGCCAACAACAAGAAAAGAAGACTGATGGCAAATCTGAAGGGCAAGGAGAAAAACAAGATGCTGATGATTGTGTGGAAGTGACTGATGCGGGTTCTGATTTTGAGGATGATAGTGAAGATGGGTACGAGTATAATGAGGAGGAGGAAGGTGAGAGTAGAAAAAATGCTCATAGAAATGCCCCAACCAACAGGGGAAGAGCAGACAGGAATAAGAATTTGGATGTGAGGGGGAACTTAAAGTATGCTAGAAGAGAAAGGGGGGTTGAGAAACACCATGGTAAGACAAGGGATAAAGCTGTACAAAATGACGACTATAAGTACAATGATGATGATGAAGAGGAAGGTGAGAGTAGGACACATGGTCGTACAAAAACTCCTAGCGAAAGAACAGATGAGAATAAGAATTTATTTGCGAGGGGGCGTTCAAGAAATGTTAGAAGAGAAAGGCAGGTCGAGAGACACCACGGTAAGACAAGGGATAAAGTTGTACCAAAAGATGATTATAAGTACAACGATGATGAGGAGGAAGGTGAAATTAGGACACATGCTCGTACCAAATCCCCAAGGGGAAGAGCAGATGAGAATAAGAATTTAGATGTGAGGGGGCGTTCAAGAAATGTTAGAAGAGAACGGGTGTGCGAGAAACACCACGGTAAAACAAGGGATAAAGTTGTATCAAAAGATGATTATATGTACAATGATGATGGCGGGGAGGAAGGAGAGGGTAAGAGACATGCTCATAGAAATGCCCCACGCAGGAGAGGAAGAGTAGATAAGAAGAATAATTTTGATTCAAGGGAGGATGCAAATGCTGGAAGAGATAGAGGGATTGAAAAGCGCCATTTCAAGACCAAGGATAAATTTCGACCGAAAGGTTCTATCATAAAAGGAATGAGTAGAGGGTACAATTTCCACGAAAGGTCACAAGAGTGATCAGCTTCGCCTAAGAAAAAGAAGGAATCGTTGACAGCCAAGAGGACTGCTACTTGAAAGATTTAATTATCTGTCTAAACTAATAATCTGCAGGTTAGCTTCTTGTTCTATTTCTTTCTTTTGTTTGTTTTTTTTGTTTTTATTTGGGCAAGGGAATGCAAATTTACATGCTTATAATGTGCTCTTTCATAACTTAGTTAACTCTCTATATTGTTGCCTAGCAAAAGCAAGGAAACCTGGGACCCGATTTTGTTCTCAAAATTTGTACTTTCCGATGTAGGATTCTATTCCTGCTGATTTTGTAACTACCATTATTACTGGAAAACTGTGGAATCCTGTGCCTCTAAGCTCACAGTGCCAATATTTTCTGAGCACCTCTATATGAAAGTTGATAGACTGAAGTCAAATAACCATCATTATATCCAAATTGAAAGAACATGTTAAATTGTGCATGAGAGGCTTAACTCTTAGAGGGTCAAAAGAATTGCAGTAATGGGACCATTGAAGCGTTGACTATCTTGTGTTGTTTAGAAATGGTTTTGCAGGAAATTGTTTTCCCTGCCTGTCTTCATTGAGTTTAATTTCTACGGTATTTCTGATTTTATTGATTTATTTGTTTGAATCCAAGAACTTGGTAGTTCTCTAAGATCTGCGCTTCAAAGTCTTCATAGACCCTTCATTGGTCTGGGCACATGATGGACCATATGCATTGATAGACACCATCTCAAACCCAAAAGCCTAAGCTTTTGGGTTATTGAGCCATCTTTGTATATATGCACTTCAAACTTCTCCTTCCTAGCCAAAGGGGGATTCCCTCACTCACATGCTTAGCTCAACATACTACATAGTATTCTATATTTAGAATTTAGATGGAGAAACAGAGTTGATGAATGGAGAATCTGCTGTAGTTACATGTATGCTCTCTGTCATGGGATGGGGAGTAATGATTTCCAAAGTACTGATCTACTATTCTTTGATCAATGTTATAGAATATGCACATATTTATGATGAATATGTGATCCATATTTGTGTGCATGTATCTTTGGTGGTTTCCAATTCAAGAACAGTGCAATAATTGCCCCATTTCTCAATTTACCATTCATGATATGCTGCTTTATTGAAACAGTTGTAACAACGTTTATTTGTATCAACAATTCAACTTATTTGCCTTTCCCATTTGCTGTGTTATGTGAAATTGTCAATAGAAATGCATTTGATGGCATGAGGTTGTTGTGTCAACTATCTGGACAGCACAGAAGAAAGAAAGGAGTACCATTATATCAAAGTTTTTGACATTATTTTAGAGTAGGGCTCATTAACTGTAGAATAAAGTTGAGCAAAGATACAGGTAAAACTGCTTGCATGGATGTTACATTATCTATACCGTTCATTTCTCCTCATGGTTTTGTTAGTCTAAGAGAGCAAGACTAAGTGTGGACTTCAACTTAGTCTTCGATTCTTTTTCCAAAAAGAACAAAAAAAAAGAAAAAACCAAGATGTTGTTATGGGTTTTTCATCCATTTGCATGCTAAGGCCAGGTAGACAACAATTGAGAAGAAACCATATTGTCTTCTCCTCAATTGATGTAGAAAGTGATTTTTCCAAATCCTGAAGAATATAACTTGGTTGTGGATGTCGTGTGCAGTTTCTGTTGTGGATGTCATGTGCAGTTTCTGCCACAGTAGATCTTTTAAAATAATAGTAATCATACGGTGCATACTGGCAAAACTCGTCTTTAAAAGCTTTCTTTTTTTATGTCTTTTGATTTTTTTCAGCCTCCAAATGATCACAAGGCTACGACATACATGTTTGTCCTTGTTGAATATAGAAGATGGGTCTTCTTTGTTGACGTGCAGGTTTCTTCGATTCATCATTTTCTATGCAAAATTTCAAATTCCTGGTTTCACTGTAAAGATTAATGAAGTATGACATTTGTTGCCATTACTTTTGACCATCAAGTCTGTTTAGAGTCTTCGAGACTTCGGAGAACAATGGTTCTCTAGTTGCTGACCTGTCAAGAGTGTTGACAGTGGCTGTTAAATGCTAGATGCCTGAAGTTACTCAAAATGATCTTTCACTTGCCCCCCTGACTATGCTTCAATGTTGAGAAAGAGCGCCACTTTTACTTGGACATCGCAAGTTTAGTCTGGTTGGAAGGCTGAAGCTGCAAATGCAGTAAGTTGGGTTGGAGAAGTCTTTCTGCTTCTGATTTCTAGTTTATGTCAACAATATAAGATCATTCCTCTGGAATCATTATTTAGCTTCTTTTTGGAGTTCTATTAACACTTTATACCTTCGACCTGTGTATTTTGTTTGGCTTCAAAAAATCAGTATAATTCAAATGATCAATGCGCATTTCGAGATTACTTCCTCTCATCTTCGGCATGGTATGCTGTATTTGTTTCAACAAAAGTTCTGTAACCAGATGTTCATTTTCCTCCCATCTTTGGCATTTCATCATAGTCAATCCTTTCCCTCCATTTGTTTGTTGGCTGGCTATACTGGTTTAGTTCCTGCACTTCCCCTATGTATTCCATAATCATTGTTGTAAACAAAAATACTGTAAAGTTTAAAGGCAAGCTTGGAGAGAGAAGGTCTAAAAAGGCTAGTGAATAATTCCATATAAAATTAGCTGGTGTGTGTTGAAGTGCTTGAGTGTTCTTGATGAATGGTCAGCAGCGCCACTGGTTTCCCACATGCATTTGCTCATTGCTGGTGCCTACCCAAAGAAAAGCATAACTTGCTCGTGTAGCAGATAGAAGGTTTTTAGGGAATGTTGCAGCATGACTGTTCCATCAATTTGCGTACCACTGATATATTTTTTCTTCTGAGCATGCATATGTGCTACTGATATATTTTTTCTTCTGAGCATGCATGTCTCCTCCTCTGGGTAATTTTGACCTGAGATCAGTTTTATTTGCCAACATCCAAAGATGGACATGAAAGAAGTTGAAATTTAATCTGAGAAATCAGAAATAAGTAGTAGCACCTTTTTACATAACATGAGGGTGACCATATCTAGTAGTACCTTCATATCGTCTTAAGAAGTACTTTCATGGATACGTACATACATACGTATACATGCAAACTTTTTATTCAATTATTCATAAACCAAAATGAGAACACGAAGTATTCAGGATGGATATTTAGATGTAAGCTTGTGGACTGGAGAGCCCGGTCTTGGAAATTCTTTAGATAAATAAAGAGAAAACAAGCATTTCTCTCTCTCTCTCTCTTAATTTGCCATGCAAATTACTACAACTTCATTTTGTGAAAATAAAAAGAAAGCAAAGAATTTGGTCTTTCTAGGGGGAATATTTATCTTTATGAAATTGTTCTCATGGCTTTGGCAATTCTTCAAAGACCTTATACTCAATCCAGAAAGGCCGGTAGCCCAAAGTTAACTATCATGTTTTGCCTTCCAGAGCCACCCCCATGTGATCTCTCCAAGAACTTGACGACGACATGAACTCAATCCAGTTTCCCCCACAGATAAGTCAAACAGCAAAAACTCACCACTAGGAACGGATGCTAATCAATTTAACTTTAGAGTGAAATTCAATGACAAGGAATCAAAATGAAAAAAAAAAAAAACAAAATAATAAGTGGCTTAGTTGAACTTTAGAATGAAATACCTATTTTCTCTGAAAAAAACCAAAAAACAATTTTAATGGGGGTAATTCAATAATTTCACAATGGCCCATTTGTCATTCAAGAATTTATTTTTATGATGCATAGTAAAATGACCTTTATGCCCATAAATTTAATTTTTTAAAAGCTTACCTTTAATGATGATTTTGTCTTTTTTATTTTTTGATAAATAGTTAAATAACTTGCATATTCCTTGGAATTGAATTTTCCATAACTTATGCTTAGAGGTGCTTTTGTCTTTGCACCAGGCTATTTTGTAATTATAAGGCTAGTTTGAAGAAATTATATAATTTAATATATACAGATATTATTAAAAAGATTGATGACATAACCCTGTGTTTTCTTAATATGTTGTGTGTGAGGCCATCTAATTTTCAAATGTTGTTGCCTTCCACGATGATTTTTGAACTGTCTTGGTGTTATTTTTTTGAAAATGAGATTTATATAGTCAAAAACTATCATGTTTGATGTCAAAAATAATTTTTTTTTATTTTTTTCTCTCTCATCTCTTAAAATTTAGGCTTGACATTTTAAATTTCAAGTAGTCCCTTTAATTGGAGATATTTAAGTGTCATTCTTCATTTTTTTTTATTTGCAATTCTTGTCCCTGGTCCTTTTTTAAAATTTTGATTTGTTTTTAATTTTATTATTCAATCTAATTTTTTTTAAAGGCCTAGATTCTTTTTTTTTCTTCATTTTTTTCTTGTCTATTTTCTAAACTTTTAATTGTTTTCAATTTCATTCTTTAATTAAAATTTACAATTTGTTATTTTTTAAAATTTGATTCTTATTATTTTAATGGTTTGAATTGATTTTTCTTTACAATTTAGCCCTTTAATCCAAAATTATCCATCATCTCATTTTGTTTTCTAAATTTGACCCTCATTCATTTAATTGTCATTTTTTCTTTTGAATTATTTTTATGATTTTTTTTTAATTTCATCATTTTACGTTTGATTGATTGAAATTTAGGATTCATGATTTTTTCAAGTTTGGTGCTTCCAATCAAATGGCTTGAGTCATGGGTTTTATAAGCTGACATAGGCTTACATTGTTTTTTGGACTTATTTACTTTTATGATCTCATGATGTTGATTTTTTTAAATAGATTTTATTTTATTTTTTATTTTTTTTATAAGGTTATCATGATTTTATGACTTGACTCCGTGTGTTTGGTAGGTTAATTCGGGTGGGCACATCCCTATTTTTTTTTTTTTGCTATTAATTATTGTCTTTTCTTTTGGATCTTTTTGTGTGATTAATTTTTCTTTTAAATTTCATCCTTCAATATTTGATTTGTTAAGAATTGACTTCTGTGGTTTTTTATATTTGGTTCTACCAATCAAATGGTTGTTGGCTTTAATTTATTTTTGGGACTTATGTTTTTACATCTCATGATTTGACATTGATTTTTTTTTTTAAATTAGGTGTCATGATTTTTTTTTGTCAAGTTATCTCAATCTCATAATCTGACCCGTGGGTTTGATGGGCTACCGTAGACCGACTCAGGCTTTTTTCTTGGCTTATAATTGTCTTTTTTTTGTATGTTTGATTTTTTTTCAATATCATTATATAATATTTGATTAGTTGAAGATTGAGCTTTCAAGTTTGCCAAATTTAGTTATTTTAGTTAAACGACTTAAATCACAAGTTTATTGGATTAACTTTGTTACCACTGAAATCAAAATTTTTAAGGTTTATGTCTAGGAACATTTACATCCTTTTCATTTTATATGCATAGTAAAATGACTAAATTATCTTTTAGAAGTAAACTCTCATTAATTAATGGTGAGGAGTGTTTTGATCTTCTTATAATGTTTTTTCTATACATAATAACTAGGTTTGTCGAGAGGCTTTATTGAATTTTTAATTTTTAATGCATAGTAAAATTACTTATATGTCATCAACGAAAAAAAATTAAAGCTTCCTTGCTAGGGCTTTTTTTTTTTAATTTTTTGATCTTGGTTTTTTTGTTATTCTTTAAAGGATAAATATACTTGGCTTTTTTGTTATTCTTTAAAGGATAAATATAAAATATTCATAAAAAAGTTTGTGAATGCAATGTGAAAGCTGCCCATGCCTTTTAGGCAATTCATATAGTGGCATTTTACAACTAAATACTTCCTTTAAAGTGGTAAAGGAAGCGTGTTGACATCCTCTACTTACTAGTGCCGTGTGTGCGCGAGATAGAGCTTAGGTTAGGCTCTAAAGGATTTTTTCCCTCTCCTCCTTCTTTCTTTATTTTATCCTTATTGAAGTATGAGTGTGTCCTATCATTTATTATTTATATTTAATTTAGTCATTTTTTTAATCTTATTTTGACTCTTTTTTTCCAATCTAATCCTTGTTATATAGTTTAATTTGATTATCATGTTAAATTTGGTCTTCATTCTTTTGCTTTTTTGTCCTCTTACTAGTTAAATTTTGTTTTCAATTTTATTTCTGTGTATTTGATTTTAATTTATTCTTATGTCTAATTTGGTTCGTATGCTTTTTATTATTATTTATTTTGTTTTGAATGCTTTTTTCCACTTTAATTCCTTAGCATTTTTCTTATTGAGAGTTTTTTTTCTTTTTTATAGGGTCATCTAGATCCCATGTTGACTTATAATTTTTTTATGTTAATTGTTTTTTATATAGTTTCACCACTAAGCATGTTTTTTATTGAGAATTTTGCTTTGGGTTTTTTTTTTTCACGAATCGATCTTTGTGCTTCTATGGGTTTATTGCAATATATGTCCATGGTTTTGAGGTTTGTGAATTAAGCTAACTTGACCTCTTTTTATTTTTTCATTGTTTGTTTTTAAATTATATTTTTTTTAGTTTCTCCATTCAGTATTGGGTTTTTTGATAGGTGGACTTCATAGTTTTTTCTGCAATATGCTTTCATTGTGACTTCATTTTTTTTTAATTTTATATTAACATGAATAATCGTTTGATTGCACAAAAAAATTATCCTAAGAAACAAAGTTACTAGACAAACCTAAGCGTCTGGTCCATACTGTGAGATCAAATATTTTAATTTTAGTTATCTCTTGTTCAAACATTTATTTATTTAATTACATGCTTGTATAAACATTTGGGTTTGTGATTGATAATTTTTTATATATAAAAACATGTTGGAGAAGTCTGTATTTTTATTTTTTGTTGAAAAACATTATTCAATTTGCAGTAAAATGCGGGTCAAATAGATAGTAGTTATCTAAAAAAGACTTTAAATATCCTAAAAACTTAATAAATAATATAAGAGAACATTAATAATAATGAAATTATTATTAACACTTAACTATTAATAATTAACAACAAAAACTAAAGAGACTTGAGGGTGTTCATGCAAGATGTTTTTCTTACTTCAATCCTTATAGTTTTCACATTTTATGTTTTGGTCATACAACTTTATCATTTTTGTTATATTTTAGTCGTTGACAATTAAAGGGAGAGAAGAAGTTTTTCGTCAATTATATTTCAGCCATAAAAACACCAATCTTGATTTTACTAGTTCATTTTTTTAAAAAAGATTCAATGGAGGTGGTTTGAGCTTTGAATAAAAAAAAGATCAGAATTTAAAAAATGTGTTTTGATTTAAATTAATTTTTAATTTTTAAATTAATTATAGAGTGTTTTAGGGTTATAAATGAGACTAAGGAGAGATTTTTTTATTTGTTTTTAAGTGAAAATAAGTTAATTTTTGAATTGTTTTGTTTTTTTAATTTTTTTTACGGTGCTTTTTTTTTTTAAAAAAAACCTCTTAACTGACAACCTAACACTACGAGCAAATAAAAAAAAGAAAAAGAAAGAAAAGAGAGAATACAAATACCATCAAATGCAAGAAGGAAATTAAAAAAACAAAAGTTGCCCCGAGATCCGTACAAGCAGCATGGCAGCGCAGAGAGGGTCCTCACACATT